ATGACAGCGGCAAAGGCCCAAATCAGGCAGTAGCCTTGGTATAAAATAGGTTTCATTCTGAGCCAGTGAACTGAAGCATAGGTTCAAAAGACCAAACGAAGTTACTTGGTGGATGATCGAACAGTCATCATTCTCCCCATCTGATATGATTTCTTACCTCCTTCAATTATGTGTATTATGAAGACAAATACTGCCGGGCGATTATAAATGACCAGTTCAGACTTACTGGCCGACATCAGCCAACTATACCCTAGGTATGGTGTCCGACTTCCATTGACTTAAAGCGCATTACCCTATTAGCTCACAATCTATTTCCAGTGACCAGGTGTAGTAACCGTCCAAAAATGACACTCAACACGTTGGCTTGCATGTCAGATTGCTGGCAATGCTATCCGCTTAAACTACTATCTGTTGTGTGGCTGCTGACGGGGTTCGATAATGGGCTCCAAAGGTAGTTCAGGACGAGTGATTTCCGTTACCGATCAGTGAACTTTCATCAACGAGTGCGCATCTAGCTGTCCAGTAAGAAAACGAGGCAGCTCAGGAAAGATATTTGAAAAGGCTGCAGGGTGTAGGTCACTACAGCTCAGGCGATTCGTACTTTTGCCGCGTCGCTATCTGGACCAGGCGGATCGGATATGAAGCTGTTTTAAGTGACTGTGGTAACGAAGGACCAACTGCGGTCTATATTGCTGAGCCAAACTCATTTCTGCATATGCGTCCGTCACAATCTGACAAAACGATCGGCTGCTGATAGAAAATAACAGTTGAGTTCCGGGAAGCAATTCAGGAAGAGAAGATGCGATCGCTGGAACAAAAAGTTTATTCGCCTACTGTTTTGGGTTATCGCATCACCAGAGACAATCGCATATAAGAGTGACAGGCGCATAAAGTGCGCACTATTTATAGTCTGTAGTCACCACGCAACTACAGCCAGTCAAATTGCTGCGTAATTATCACACCAACATCGAACACAGGTGATGCAATCGCGAACTGCCAAGTCCTCATCACTCGCTACTCCCAGCGGTGATTATGAAGGTTGCTAATTGTAGTATGCATGTGGTATCGCGTGGTCATTGCGACCTATACTGTGCGCCTTGTGCCTCTGTCACCATTGTCTCTCATGATGCGTTCGTACAAGAATCCGAACCATCAGGCCAATAAACCTTTTGTTCCAGCGACCGCATCTTCTCTTCTTACAACAATCTGTCTACGCCAACCAACGAGACTTTCAGTACACTGTATATTGGCAGCGTTTTAAGTTTTTCGACGTGGAAACGGGTTACCCGTCTACTTTTTTAGCCTTCTTCCCCCGTCCTTTCCCAACTCCTGATG